AACAATAGTAGCCACTATATACACAACTGTCCTGGAACACTTTCCAGTGTCCACTTCATTTTAAGTAAAGTGGTCAGTCATACTAAATATTTTCTTTCTGAGTGTGAGAATGTAAGAATAGAGACTAAGAAAGTGCCATTTCTGAAAGCAGAAAAACAATAATGTTTAAAAACCACTGCCCAATAGAAACAGGTTTTTGGTTTAACAGTTTATCTTCATTCCTTCATTTTTAGTTGAATAGAGATATTTTAATAGTCCACACTAACAGGTGGAAAGGAAAGGGTTTGGGGCACTTCCCTTTACACTGTTGAAATGTGGAAGGACCACATGACCACATGCTGTTCCAAACAATGCCTGACTTTGCTTTTGCCTAACTTCAATGAAGGCAACTCAAAAAGAAAATACAATGTTGCTGTTTCCATTTTCCCTAGATCAGTCTCAGTTCTCTCTGGATGAAATCACTCCCTCAAAGGGCATTAACCTCACAGTTTGAGAAACAATGCTCTACATATGAAACACAGAGCAACACAATGGAAAACCAAGCAGCCATTTTGTTTTTCCTCATGGGAGAGTGAGACTACATCCTTTTCATTACAATGACAAGTTAGTATGCAGATTTGTAAAATAAGTCTGTGATACAAATAATTTCAGCATCCAGTTACAAAATAAGGAAATGGATATAGTCTACAGTCGTGTATTTTTATGTTGCCTGTGGCTGCTGTCTTACTACAACTGTAGCACTGAAGAGCTGTAACGGAGACTAGATAGTTTGCAAAGCCAAACTATTATTTGACACTTTACAGAAAAAGTTTGCATCCCCAGCTAAACCCAGTGGATCTCAACTTAAAACATTCGCAAGAAACACCCAGACAGCTTGCTAAACCTGTTTCTTGGGCTCTCTGTTCACAGATCATGATTCAGTAGGTTGGTATGGGGTCCATGAACTTGCATTTCTAAGAAGCTGTGAGGTTCTCCATCGACTAAGCTTTGGGAATCACTGCTCTAAACCTGTCACGTAATCACAGATGATGAACAACCACAAATGCCATAGAGTCTATTAAATAGGATAGGCCATCATACAAAGTGAAAGCTAAGGAGTGAGGCAGTTCTTAACTTGTATGAAATTCTTGGTAGCAAATAAGGCACAATTGGTTGCCATAATCTATCAGATAATTCTTCACACCCCATCCTAATATTAATTCACAGTGAATATTAAAATTCAAGAGGGATCAGATGGAAACAAAGGCAGTTGATTTCATGGTGTTAAAACCCAATCGGTTCCCCAGAGAAACTATTAAGACATTTTTTGAAAAGTAAAATCCACTATATATGCAGGTATAATATAGTATTTAGCTGGACTGTAAACGTAGGCATTAAAGTAAAATGTTTGAAAAAGTCTGGCACAGATAGTTTATAATAACAAGGCCCAATCAAAAGATGAATTCCCACTACTCAGCACTTAAAAAGATGAAATTTTCCTGGGGGAAAAAAGGATGGATCTTGAGGTGACTATAAGAAAGGTAAGTCAGAAAGCGAAAGCCAACTACTGGCTGGTTTCACTCAGGTGAGAGAAGTGGAATATAAACAATGAGAGAAAACAAACTGGCAAGACATAAGGAAAGTAACCTGAGATTGTGAAATACATTGTGGGGGGGGGGGGCGGGAAGAAAAGGATGGGGGAATAAGGTTGCATATCAGTGGCTTTGGTGGAGGGAAGTGTGGGCACACACACATGTGAGGTGTGAAGCTGTATCCCCAAATTTTATAATTAAGTAAACAAATGGCAAATTAATCTAATTTGATTAAAAATGAGTTCGATTTGAAAAAGAGATGACTTCTTTTACCTCATATAAAGAGTATAAAATTGTTTAAATTCTAAGAACGTGTCAAGCTAACATGCAAAATAACATAGAAGATATCAATGAATATTATTTCACTGAACAAGGCTCAGGCAGAACAAAAGTGGATGATATATAAATGACTTGAAAATATCAGAATGCTTTTCACTTGGACACTGCCAAAGGTACAGGTGGAAGATAAGGATAGGAAGGAAAATTCTCTTTGCCGATTGAGTAGGAGACACAACCTTTTTCTTTGTCCAGCATTTACTAAGCATCAACCATGCACCTAGGTATCAGGAGTAGAAATGAAAAAAAAAAAAAAAATTCCTACTCTTAACAAGATCACAGTTTAGTAAGAGCCATGTAAATAGTAGCCAGACAGCATGATGAGCGTTAGAAGAGTCATATACATTAAGCAATCTCAGAGTGTGAAAAATGAGTAGTTTAATATGCTTGAGAGAAAGGTGAGAGTAAGTTTTATTAAGTATTGTTGTTGCTTTCGTAAGACCTGAAAAAACGAGATGAAGCAGGGTAAGTGGAGAACCCACGAGGCAGTGGATACAAGTGCAGAGACATGGCCGTAGGAGAGTAAGGATTTGTGTCCCACACAAAGGTTGATGTGACTGACTCCAAGAGAGTAGCATGAGAAGGGACAAGCTCAGAAGCAAGGCAGGAAGGCAGAATTCCTAACCAGCTCTGGGTGCCACCCTAGAGTTTGGTCTTTATTTATTTATTTATTTTCAGTTTTAGAGTCCAGATTAACAGAGAAGACTGTCAGGTTAGAGTGTTCAGATCCTTGCAGGAATCATAATCTCTATCTTCTCTGGGCTTCAGCTTCTTACCCTCTGTAAAGAAGGGCTCAGGAACACTCTACCTGGGCTCTACACAGAAGTACTGTTCCGTATCACTGGAGGCCACTGGAGGCCTTGGTAATCCTACTCATTTTAGCCACTTAAAATTTTTAAAATATTTAGGTGACTCCCAGGCCCCTGCTGGGGGGCTAGGGATCTCACCTGCCAGGGAGCACAATAAAGCCTCCCCCTTTCTTAAAAAGAAACTTAAAAAAAATATATTTCTCCTATTTTGAGAGGAGATCAATGGCACAAACGAGGTTAAAAAGTGTTCTGCATGATATTCAGAATCACTTATAAACTCTCAAATTACAGGATCCGGGCCATTTAATATAGGAGCTAAAGGAGAGTGCTGCTGGTTGAGGACAAGTAAGGATGGAGCAACAGGAAAAAACATGGAGCAAAAAAAAGTTATATATAGGAATTGAAAGTCTGACTCAGGTTGGTATTGTTTTGCTTTTATATTTCCCTTTCTTTTTTTGTAGACTAAAGTTAATGCTAGCATTAAATGGATGCTTGATGGCATTCTTTTTTTTACCACACTAAAGTATAATTTTTGAATAAAAATTAGTAAAGACTGAAAAAGTTTAGCATAATGGGAACATTATATAATAGACTGGTCATGCTAGTTACCAACTGAAAGGAAAAAATCAGAAATATCTTGGTAAATGTTCAGACACAAACTACCTGGGAGAGGTGTTAGGTAAAGAAGAAACTTTTTATTTTTCATCAACAAGAAATGCTTTTAAAAAGACAGTTGGTACAAAAACTAGTTTGTACCTTACAATTATGAGCATTTGATAACAGACATCTATTTTCATATGATATTCATCAGGGACCAGAGTCAAAATGATCTAAATTTATAAGGTCAGTTAGCATTCAAACTTAAAATTTATGTAACGATACACAGAGAACCCAGTTTTTTTAAAAAATTTAATCAAATCAAAAAATTTTTATCAGAGAAAATGAGTACTATAAATACTACTTGAAGGTAAAACCATTACATGCTTTATTTTAGATCACCATCAATGAAAGTCTTGCTGCATCATTTTTTGGGAAAAATTTTCAAACTGATATCTTATACTGATTTGGAAAACCAGTGAAATAATATATAACTTGTAAAACCCTTTAAAGTATTTGGTATTTATCTAGTATCTACTTAAAAGCAGGCCTGTTTTAGACATGAGTCTTCAGTGAGGTAGTGGGTAACTGTTTTGCATGGAAGCCAGCAAAATCAAAGCTAGCTGGTTTTTAAAGTGGTGTCTATGTTAAAATTGGAGGGGTCTTCTCTATTCACAAAAATCTGGGGAGAAGTTTTTAATCATCCCTGGGCAAGTGCAGTTTGTAGGAGACTTTCCCACCTAACAGCTGTATACAGAATAGGTGACACTTTCTTCTCACACCTCCCTAGCAATCTGCCTATCTCTAAGCCACAGGCAGGTAACCAAAACACCTAAGGCAATCTTTAATGCCATTGTGCTCTTCTACATAAAAGGTAATTTCATTTTTACATGGAGTACTTCAGTGGTATACCTTTTTTTTTTTTTTTAAGATTTACTTATTTATTCATACAGAACTGGGGTACAGGCCGGAGATGCGGAGGGTGAGAGGATTCACCAGGGACAGACTGGGGAGCAGAACAGGCAGATCTACAAAGTACACTGCTGAGGGGAGCAGCAGGTGGGTCAGGAGAGGTCTGCCGCGCCATGTGATCACCTCCTGGGCAGGAGGGGATCGAACTCATGCGGAAGTGGCTTTAGTTTCTCAGTGCTGCGCATTAACCTGCTGCGCCACCAGGGAGGGCCCCTAAGTGGTATACTTTTATTAAAAAAAAGTTACTTCCTAGTAAAACAGTATCTATAGTCCCCCAACCCTCTAATATTTGTCTTATTTCAGAAAACTATGCAAAGAGAACAATACAACTATTTATGAAACTATAAATAGTTACTTTTAGTCCAGTTCATGTATATGCTCAAAGAATTAAGAAAAATTCAGAATTTGCATTTCGAGAGGAACAATCAATCAACTCAGGAAAGCAATGTATTTTCCAAGTGCAAGAAATTTTGAAGTCATTCATAACTACATACAGTGCAAACCCTAAGTAAACCCATCAAACAGGGCTATAATTGTAAACAAAACATGTTAGTGTGTGTATGTGTGTGGGGGGGTAATTTTCAAAAGGATTTACTGAAAATATGAATTGTACACAACTGGAAGAAATCCTTGTTAAATAAATAAAAGGTCATATTTAGTATATTCCAGAAGACAGCATGAACTGTTTGTCTGTAAAGGTGCGAAGACCACTCACCTCCATTTCCACAGCAGCAGTATTCTGGTCATAATGACCCATCAGATTAGGGAAAAATGTCATGTTGTAGGTCATTTTCATACATCTGGGAACAGTAATTGGTTCACAGGTGAAGAGACTGTGCCCTCTTATGAGTGGTAGAAAAAAACATGTCCCCCAAAAGATAAACATTTCCATTTTCCTCAAATTCCTGCTTTTACCACATGGCTTGAGTTAATGGCTCTTTTCATTCTCAGATTTCCATCCAAAGATAAAATGTTCAAATTCCTCACTCCATTATTTTACCATTTTGACGGAAGCTCTTTTCCTGAAAATGAGTCCTGGGTCAATGACTGTAAAAACAACCAAAAAAGTGTATCAGCATTTTTTTTTTTTTTTGTCAAAAACTTCAGTGTGGACGTCAAAGTGCAGAGGGAGGATTTTCACTCTAGGTTATTTGCCCGGGAAAAACCATGGGAAATTATGGGATACTCTTCCACCTGCCTTAACATAGATCTCATTTGCTGAAGAAGCCTCATTTCTAGGGAATTGATGAAACAAGGTGTGGGCTGCGTGGAACACGGGGTTAAAGGAGGAGAGGATGAGTGAGCTGGAGGGGGAAGGGTTATGCTCAAGGGTTAGGAGTAAGCTCACACCTGATCTTAGCCAAAAGACGATAAGAGTAAAAAGGGTTCCTAGGGTTGTCAAATCAATGGTTCCCTGCTGGATACCTTATTACCCACAAGAAAACTCAGTCCCAGAGAAATTCTCTCAGTCCCAGCGCCTAACGAGTTTTTAAACTCTATAACGATTCTAAAGAGCAAGTTTTGTGGCAGTCTTCCAGGAATGGACTTTTTCTGTTTTCCCAAAGGCCAGCTGGAGGAAGACGTCTAAGATTGATCCTGCGGAGCAGCGAACCAAGTCCTCACGGGCTAGGGAATGAAATGACCCCACCGAGAGGGAAAATGAGCAGAGCGGCCCCGGGAGAGCCCCCGAGACGCTGGGGCAGGCAGGCGGGGGGCTCTGAGTCACCAGTAGCCGCGCCCCACGCAACCACACCGTGCCCAGGCTTCCAGCCGCGGGCTGGGCAGTTCGCCCCGCAGCCAGGCACCTGCCCCAGGCCTGCGGTCGCTGCAGCTGCGCCCCGGCCCGCGCCCGCGGCGTCGCCTTTCCGGAGCTGGCGCCAACTTCGCGGAAACTTTGGCCCAGCGGACGGTCCCGCCGCCGCCGCCCCGCACCTGCGGCCCCCCTGCACCCAGTGACTCTCGCCCTGCGCCCCCAAGATCCCCCCAGCCCGCGGCCCCGCCCTGTCCCGGCCGCAGGAGCCTCACCTCGGGCGGCAATCGAGGGCAGCGCGACCCCCCGGTCCAGTCCAGCCCCCCGCGCCCCCCGCGACCTGAGTCGGCTTCGAGGAGCTGGGACTCCGCGGCCGCCCGAGCCGCACGGGGAGCGAGAGCTGACCGATCCCGCGAGATCGCGCTCCAGGTTGGGCGGGCAGGTCCCGGCTCGCCGAGACGGCGGCCGCCACGGACAGTCCCACGGCGTTTCAGAGTGGAAGGACGCAGGACCCCGGATGGCGAGGGCCGTCGGCCTCACACGCCGCCCAGAACACCGCG